TTCCTGAAAGGGCTTTAAAAGTGTGGAGCCACAACTGAGGTATGATGAAGGCCTATTACTTCGAAGTGCAGGAAACTGTCTCTTCCCTTCTGTCCATGTCGCTCAGCCCCTAACTCAGCAAAAATTAAGCTAAAATTTAAAAGCTACCTATAACCCATGCACCTAAGGTCAATTAATCTATGACAAAAGAGGCAAGAATACACAATGGAGAAAGGACAGTCTCTTCAACAAGTGGTGTTGGGAAAGCTGGACAGCTACATGTAAATCAGTGAAATTAGAACACTCCCTCACACCATATACAAAAACAAACTCAAAATGGTTTAAAAACCTAAATGTAAGACATGACACCATAAAACTCCTAGAAAGGTACATAGGTGAAACATTCTTTGACATAAATCGTAGCAATATTTTCTTAGCTCAGTCTCCCAAGGCAAAAGAAATAAAAGCAAAAATAAACAAATGGGACCTAATCAAACTTAAAAGCTTATGCACAGCAAAGGAAACCATCAACAAAACTAAAAGAATGGGAGAAAATATTTTCAAACAATGCAACTGACAAGGAGTTAATATCCAAAATATAAAAACAACTCATACAACTCAATATCCAAAAAACAAACAACCCAATCAAAAACATGGGCAGAACACCTAAATAGACATTTTTCCAAAGAAGACATACAGATGGCCAATAGGCACAAAAAAAGATGCTCAACATCACTAATTATTAGAGAAATGCAAATCAAAACCACAATGAGATAACACCTCACACCAGTCAGGATGGCTGTCATCAAAAAGTCTACAAATAATAAATGCTGGAGAAGGTGTGGAGAAAAGGGAATCCTTGTACACTGTTGGTGACAACGTAAATTGATGCAGCCACTATGGAAAACAGTATGGAGGTTCCTTAAAAAACTAAAATTAGAACTACTATGTGATCCAGCAATTCCATTCCTGGGTATATATCAGTAAAAAAACAAAAACTCTAATTCAAAAAGATACACGCACCCCAATGTTCATAGCAGCACTATTTACAAAAGCCAAGACATGGAAACAATCCAAGTGCCCATCAACAGATGATTGGCTTAGAGATGTGGTATATATATACAATGGAATATTATTACTCAACCATAAAAAAGAAGGAAATATTGCCATTTGCAGCAACATGGATGGACCTAGAGAGTATTATGCTTAGTGAAATAAATCAAAGACAAATACTATATGATATCACTTATATATGGAATCTAAAAATAATACAGATGAATCTATATACAAAACAGAAACAGACTCACAGACATAGAAAACAAACTCATGGTTACCAAAGGGTAGAGGGAGAGGGGGAGGGACAAACTGGGAGTATGGGATTAATAGATGCACACTACCATGTATAAAGTAGATAAGCAACAAGGATTTCCTGTATAACACAGGGAACAATACTCAATATCTTATAATAACCTATAATGGAAAATAATCTGAAAAAATTAATATATATATATAACTGAATCACTTTGTTGTACATTTGAAACTAACACAATATTGTAAATCAACTATACTTCAAATTTAAAAAAATTTAAAAAGAAAAAAGTTACCTATAATTAAAGGGGATCCAATGATCAGGAAAGGAATTTTTTGGTAGGAAAAGAAGAGCAGACCAAGAAATCTGAGTGGCCTTGACAGCTGCTTTTGGGACAAGGTCTTTGGAAAGTTTCATTAATTTTCTGTTTCTCAACAAGTTATTTCACCTTTCACTTTCTTTTTATCTGAAGGCTTAACCCTACTTCAAACAACATAGTAGCTTTTAAAGACAAGAACCTTTATTAAATGGATTTGGAGGTATCAATTGTTTCACATTCTAAAAAGATTTTTGATTGGCTGATAATGGAATCAGGTTTTATAACCATGTGTCAGTGTTTGCTCGCCTTTGCCTTTTTTGAACTTGATTATGAATTCCATGAGGCCAGCAACTGTCCTCTCCTGTGTTAAAATGTCAAGAATCTTGTGGATGCTTAATATATATTAATTGATGATGATAAAAGATAAAAAACCAGGACTTCCCTGGTGGCGCAGTGGTTAAGAATCTGCCTGCCAATGTAGGTGACACGGGTTCGAGCCCAGGTCCAGGAAGATCCCACGTGCCACGGAGCAACTAAGCCTGTGCACCACAACTACTGAGCCTGTGCTCCAGAGCCCGCGAGCCACAACTACTGAGCACGCGTGCCACAACTACTGAAGCCCACGTGCCTAGAGCCCATGCTCTACAACAAGAGAAGCCACCGCAATGAGAAGTCCGCGCACCGCAACGAAGAGTAGCCCCGGCTCGCTGCAACTAGAGAAAGCCCACGTGCAGCAACGAAGACCCAATGCAGCCAAAAATAAATAAATAAATTTTTAAAAAGATAAAAAATGGCATTCATTCAGTCCTAGAGCCCTTCCACTGAGTTATGCTTAGCTACACAGGTTTAGTACGGTCACTACACAAGTATAAAAAGAAACCACAGTAAGGTATAGTGGAAATAACAAAGACTTGGGCAGATGTGAGTGGGTTGGGATTCTGGTACTCCCACTTAGCTGTGTGACCTTGAGCCTGATTCTTCATATGTAAAATAGAGATAATAATACCTTCCCATAGAGTTGCTTTGAGGATTAAATGAGTTAACTACCGATAGTGTCAAACTGCGTACAGTTTCCAAAATATGACATGGTGTTTACTGCTTTCATGTCTGTGCCTGGAACCCTAAGCCTGTAATAACCATTCCTTTTTTATTCACACTGTGCCTCTCCTGTTGTTTGGCAAGTGCCTGGTCTTCAAGAAAGACACAACTCAAACACTAACATGTTTGTGAAGCCTGCCTTGATGGTAGATGATAGACAGATATGGTTACTTAATATTGAATGAATGAGTGTCTGGAACCCGGTAAGTTCTAAATATATGTTTGCTTTTTCATCACTCTCCCCTTTTCTGCTTTATCCCAACAATTCTCTCTTTAAGTGACTTGTTTGATACAGCTGATTCTCCTCTTCTTCTAAAAACCTTCTAAAGTCAATTGGATAGGGATATATAACCCTCCTACTGAGAAACAGGAAGTGGATATTGCCAACAATAATACAATCTACCCCCCAAAAGCAACAGGTAGCTTATTTCGAATATGAAAAAAGTTGAGAGAATATACTACAAATGTGTCCTTTGTGAAAAATTACTTGGCAATATGAAATCAAATCTGATAAGAAATGAGTCAAAATGAAGAATTAAGAATGGACATTTTGCAGTGCGCCAGTCTATGTAAATGGAGGACTAAGACCAAACAACAAGGTTATGAATATGTGATAGAATGAAACTATTATAAACCCTGACACAATAAAAATCCATTCATTCATTTGTTCATTAAATACATATCACTTAGTACCTACTCCGTGCCAGGCAATGCTCTACACACTGTGGATACAACCATCATCAAGATGAAGTCGCAGTCTTCATGAAACTTAGATTCTAATGGGAGAGACATACAGTAAACATATTATCTAAATATATAACATAATATCAGATAGTAATGAGTGCTATGAAGAAAAATAAATAGCATAAAGGGGGAGAGAATAATGAGGGTGCTATTGTAAATAGTGTGGTCAGGGACGACCTCTCTGAAAAGATGATGGATGAGCAAAGAACGGAATGAACTAAGGGAAAGAGCCATGCAAATATCTGGGGAAGAGCACTCTAGGCAGTGGAACATGTCAATGCCCTTCAACCAAAGACCATCAGGAACTTACTCATAGCTGACAAGTTGGGTTTATTATTCTTTGCAGGCAGGGAGAATGAACACCATAGGGAACCATGGGGTGTTTCAGTAAGAGAATGTTAGAAAGAACCTACTATAGTATTTGAGTGATTTACGGGAGGGTCTAAGGAAGTGGCAGTTCGCTCTAAATCAGATGCTGTCAGAAAGCAGGGGCAATTGTATGATTGGGCATCTCAATAACCTCATATATAGGGAGGGCAGACTAGGGCAAAGATAAAGCTGTAATTGATAAAGTAGCAGTCACCCATTTTGGCCAAGAGAGGGGGTGTTTGGTGTTTTCTGGGTGGCACAGTGACTTTTTTTTTGTCTGTGCTTAGACAAAATTATGAAGTGGTCTTATTTCGTCTCACGTTGTCAGTCACCTAGTGACCTTGTCTTAGATTGGCGTTCTGTGAGTTTATGTCCAACAGAAGAACATGGCCTGAGCGCTAGTCAGCTTCCAGATATCAGGGGCTGCTTCCCAATCCATTTTCTCTAACAGCAAGTGAAAAGCCTTAGAATATAAGGAATAAATTTTAGAGGTGGTGGGAGAGGAGGGAGGAGGTATAATATTGGCTATCTCCTCATCTTTAGTAGAAAATAGTTAATAGTGCATTATTATTGTATGGGACATACTTATACTAAAACATTATTCATTGTTTAGCTGAAATTCAAATGTAAGCGAACCTACTGTATTTTTTTTCTTTTTGCTAAATCTGACAACACTAAAATAAAAACACTGTCAGCTGCATAGGAAATACTTTGAATACTTGGTGCTTTTTCTTCTCGTCCCACTTAGATTTTTATTTGAAATCAGGATAGACTCAGAAAAAAATATGTAATTCGATTTGAGCCATTCCTATATATTCTACATGTACATAGACGCCCACATCTGTGCATATATTGATATTATGTATATGTACGTATGGACATACATACACACACACGAGAAACAGTAAAAGCATCCAATAGTATAGAATATGTAACACACACGCACAGAAGGCACCTGGAACACAAGCAGAATTGACTGTGTTGGTGATACGGCCACTCAGTGAAATGTATCTTGTGGTCTGTCATCCTTCCTTTCAGTCATTTCAAGTACGAGGCTGAGAAAAACACGGTCTCCGATCCAACTTGGACCTGGCGCGCCTCCTGAGGAACCGGAAGGATGAGAGGAACCGATTGCAGCGGCGGTTTATTTACACGGATGCACACACCCCTTTCACGTCGGCGGGAGGCCACGTAGGCCTGGGGAAGGATTTTGCCGGCGTACCCGGAATGGTTTCCTCAGCTTTGGTTGGGCGGGGGAGGGTAGCGCAGCGGCGCGTTCTGGGAGCCGAAGAGACCGAGATCTTCCCGGGCTCTTGAGAGTGTTACCTCTTTCGCGGCAACAATGGCTCGGGTGTCTCGCTCGCGCGGCCCGGAGTGGGAAGCGTCGCAGTTCGTCGAAGAGCCCCGAGCCCGCGGGGCGGCCGCTCTCGTTCGCACTCTTGCTCTCGGCCCGGGGACCGGAATGGCCTCGGCCATCAGCTGGGTGGCCTCAGCCGAGGCTCCCGAAACCAGCTCTGCGGCCCTGGCTTGCGGTGTCGTTCGCGAGAGCTGCCCTCGGCACCTCGGTGCTCCCCTTCCGCTTCTGCGTCCTCGTCCGCTGAGCGCTGCCGCCACTCGCGCCGCTGCGGGAGCGACGAGCCGGGACCCAGCCTCCTGGACCGGGAGGAGGTGAGTGATGCGGCCGCACCTTCGCTCTGAGGAGCCCACTTGCCTTCAGAGTTCGCTTCATCTCTCATCCCGCTTCTGAACGGTTCCAATTAAGCATTTTCTACCTTCTTTGCGCCCATTTCCATCTTTTGCTTCAGTCCACGACAGCTCCTTATTTGCCCTTTTTCTGCCTTAATTCTCACTCATCCTTGGGCTCCTTCATACGGTGCTGTGACCCCTCCACCCCCTTTCACCTCTGGTCTGGCAGAAGACATGGCCAAGGGTCCCAGACCTATTTACGTTGTGTTATCATTTGTGAGCAAGTTTTTATTCCCCACTAGACTGAGTTCGTGGAAAGGAGGAGCCCGATTTTACTCATCACAGAATTCGCAGTGCCTAGCACTTAGTAAGAGCTCAACCATTGTGTGTTGAATGAATGAACAGATTGGTTTGAGATGATAACAGGATGTGTAAGTGGAAATTCTTTGTAGGGAGTTGGGAAGGGTTGAGATTAAGGGTTTAAACTGGAGAAGAGAAAACCTTCCCCCACGACAGGATTGGATGAATGTAGGAAAAGCAATGTGCGTAACTGCAAATGGGGCTACCTTGAGAAAGGTCTTGTGAAATGGTCTCAATCTTGACCTTGAAGAATGAGGGAAGGGTGAGATCAATTTTCCTCTAATGAAAGTGAGTATTGGAGCGGAAAGATAGTTTAAGAAGGAAAAGTTCTAATTATTGCTGTGTAAGTATTCATACCTCCCAAGTGCCTTGAATGTGTTAAAAATGAGAAATTTACAAACATTACAGGCACTGAGGGGCAGGTTGAAATTACAACAGTTGGGAGATGTCTTGATGGTTTTTTTCTTCCAGCAGTGGAAGGTAATAAAGCATAGTGAGGAGGAAGATAGTGGATGGATTCAGACTGCCTGAGTTTGAAGCCCTGCTTTGCCACTTAATACCTGTATAACTTTGGGTATTGAGAGTTTACCTGAGCTACTCTGTGGTGTTGCTGCCTCAGCATCCATTTTGTTTTCAGGGACTAGCCCTCTCCTGTAAGCACATGCCATAGATAGCAACCCGTAAAATCACAAGCAAATGTAAGTTCCTGATATGACTTCCCTAACAGCCCCTGTGATCTGCAGTCTCCCCTGCCTCCCAGTGCTGGTATGCTGTATGGCCCCCTTAGAGAAGACCCTCGTGGGGCTTACCAAAACCCCCGCTCTTTTGGTTTAAATTGACCAAAATGGCCCTAGCCTGGGAACCCCAAAGCACTCCACCCACAGACTGTAATAAAAGCATGTGCCCCAGGTCCTGTCACTCTCTGCACCCTATCTTGACCTCCCCATGTAACCCCTCGAGGTGTGCTGGATACTTCCTACTGGACCTGTGAGTAATAAACTTCTCTATTTCAATTTCTCTTGTGGTCTGTTGTTGAACTTTGGCTCACCATCTGGCACCCTGTGCTCCACTTAACAAATGTTAATTTAAGGAAGTCAAAACATTGAGCAAATTACTTAACCTCTCCAAGGTACATTTCTTCACCTGTAAAAACGGGGATAAAAATAGTGCTGACATTTTTAGGGTTGTTGTAATGATTTAGTGCCTGGAACATAATACACATTATTTTTTATCTATTAGGGTTTCACACCTGGGAGGAGGAACAGTAAAAATAGTCCTGAGTTATATTGGAGACCTACCTCTCCAAGTTATATGTTTCAGAAAGGTCACCCACAATCCGTGTCAATCAAAAACCAAACAGGTTATTTTAGAATCCCAACCAAAAGGTGTAAGAACAGCTTGGATGAAATTTGCATTTGTGCATGTAGAAGATAATTCATCTTGAGTCCAGATGAAACCAGGTAGCAGCAGGGACTGTTTTAATGGTCTCTTATTCACCCTGTTGGTGAGAGAGGTAATCCCTCCCTAGGGTTATGGGGCAGCTGAACATAGGACACCTGACACTGGACACATAAGATCCACTATGCAGGGATAATCTGGAACGCACCTGTCCCTTTAATAAAGAGGGTTGTTTGGCTAGGGGACCTTTTCTGCAGGAGCAGAGTGGGAAGGGGAATTTGCAGTTAGGCCATTGGAGGCCCTACTGGTTTCCCCAGATGTCAAGGCAGCACATAATATTGGGCCTTAATTTTAGGCCCTACACCACAAGGACTGTGTGTCTTTACAGTCTGGCATGCATCATTGGCCCCTATACTTATATATTCCAAGGGCTATTATTTGTATGTTTACTTTTAGATTATCTGCTTCTGGAACTGGGTGACCCTCTGAGTCCAAATCTGCAGTTATAATACCTTTTCCCCTGAATAAAGAAGTAAAAAATAATTTATTTAAGCAATGAGACCAAATATATTTATTTTGTAAGGATTAAAAAAAAAAACAGAGACACAAGCAGCTAAACTTTGGAGAATTGAGCCTCTGTTAGTTTTCTCCTTTTCTTTTTTTCAGTTTATGAGTAATGGTAAATACTAAACAGAAGAAATGACAAACATTATAATAAAACAAAAAAAATTTAATGTCCTCCAAAGAACAGATAGACAATGTACTCCTTTTCCAAAAAGGAACTAAAGGAAAAACAAAGAAAACAAACCCTGGATCTCATTGAATACAACTTCTGTCACATAGAACTTTTCAGAGCTCCCTTTATTTTCTACTTCTTGTAGTGCTTCATTTTTTTTCAAAATTGAAATATTTACTTGACAGAAAATTTTTGAATTTGGTAAACAAATGGCAATAACTGGTACATACATTAATTCAAAATATTTCTACTAAGCACCAAATAGTTCCCAAATTTTTCACCAAGAACCTCTTCATCACTGAAAGAATGCCTAAAATGTAATCAGTTTAGTTAGGTTTTTAATCAAGAAATCTAAAGATGCCAATCAGTAGTGCTTCATTTTTAAAAGCTGTCTTTACTAGGTCCTGGGTTTCTGAAAACTAAAGTTTTAACCAAATTGGAACAGACTTCTTTTTCCTTTCATAAATATGCATAAACAAATGAAGTTATTTCCAAATGTAAAACTGTTTCTGTCACATATTGCAGAAGATGAAATGAGCAATTAGGAGCTCTGTAATGCATGCGGCAGAAGGGATGTGCTTGACAGCCTCCCAGGCTGCATTTCTAGCCTGGCTGTTCAGGCTGTCTGTAGTCTGTACCATTTGATAGTACTATCAGAACATCAGACCCTAAGTGTTAAGTTTACATTTATACCAAGTTTTTATTAATTTAAAGTTTAAAACATAAAGGGAGAATAGAATAACTGGACTTGTTGAATTTGAATATATATAAAATTTATATATATATATCTATATATATAATGGAATTCAGCTTTTTTTTTTTTTTTGCGGTACGCGGGCCTCTCACTGCTGTGGCCTCTCCCGCTGCAGAGCACAGGCTCCGGACGCGCAGGCTCAGCAGCCATGGCTCATGGGCCCAGCCGCTCCATGGCATGCGGGATCCTCCCGGGCCGGGGCACGAACCCGCGTCCCCTGCATCGGCAGGCGGACTCTCAACCACTGCGCCACCAGGGAAGCCCGAATTCAGCTATTTTTAAATTTTTTTATTTCTATATTTAAATTTATATTTCATAACCTTTCTACCTATTGAAATCCATGAGTTCACACCAGTACCTCAAATTCCAATCCATAGCACAGCGTTCATTCTAGCTTTCCCCTTTTTTCTAGAATTCACCTATTGAGTTAATAAATCTTCTGGAAAATTAAGTGAGATAGGATTAGAGAATTGGGAGCTCCTGAAGTATGAGGACTTTCTGCAAAGAATCCTTGTTTTAGACTGAATTGTGTGCCCCCAAAATTCATATGTTGAAGCCCTAACCCTCGAAGTGACTGTAATTGGCAATAGGGCTTTTAAGGAGGTAATTAAGGTTAAATAAGCTCATAAGGAAGAGACCCTAATTCAGTAGGACTGGTGTCCTTATAAGAAGAAGAGACACCAGAGATCTCGGTCAATCAGTATCTCTCTGTCTCTCTGTCTCTCTCTCCTTCTATCTCCCCCTTATCCTCCTCTCTCCCTCTACTCTTCCTCTCTCCCTCTCTCCCCACTCCCACCTCTCCTGACCTGATCACAGAGGACACAGAGAAGAGGCCACGTGAGGACACAGCAAGAAGGTGGCATTCTACAAGCCAGGAACAGAGGTCTCACCAGAAACCAACACTGATGTCACCTTGATCTTGCATTTCTTTTTTTTTTTAATTTTATTTATTTCTTTAAACAGCAGGTTATTACTTATCCATTTTATACATATTAGTGTATATATGGCAATCCCAATCTCCCAATTCATCCCACCACCACCACCACCCCCCGCCACTTTCCCCCCTTGGTTTCCATGTTTGTTCTGTACATCAGTGTCTCAGTTTCTGCTCTGCAAACTGGTTCATCTGTACCATTTTTCTAGGTTCCACGTATATGCGTTAATATACGATATTTGTTTTTCTCTTTCTCACTTACTTCACTCTGTATGACAGTCTCTAGATCCATCCACGTCTCTACAGATGACTCCATTTCTTTCCTTTTCATGGCTGAGTAATATTCCATTGTATATATGTACCACACCTTCTTCATTCATTCGTCTGTCAATGGGCATTTAGGTTGCTTCCACATCCTGGCTATTGTAAATATTGCTGCAATGAACATTGGGTGCATGTGACTTTTTGAATTACAGTTTTCTCTGGGTATATGCCCAGTAGTGGGATTGCTGGGTCATATGGTAATTCTATTTTTAGTTTTTTAAGGAACCTCCATACAGTTCTCCATAGTGGCTGTATCAATTTACATTCCCACCAACAGTACAAGAGGGTTCCCTTTTCTCCACACCCTCTCCAGCATTTATTGTTTCTAGATTTTTTTATGATGGCCATTCTGACTGGTGTGAGGTGATACCTCATTGTAGTTTTGGTTTGCATTTCTCTGATGATTAGTGATGTTGAGCATCCTTTCATGTGTTTGTTGGCAATCTGTATATCTTCTTTGGAGAAATGTCTATTTA